TAAAGAATTTAGCTTTGAATATTCAAGTGCAAAAAAAGCTTTTTTGATTTTATCAAAATGCCTTTGATGCCTTTGTAAAGGAGGAAAACAAAACGTTCAATGTGAATAAAATAAATCATTTTATAGTCATGTATTTTGATCCCACATGTACCTGAAATAAAATAGAATAAATTCTCACCTTATGTGAAAGAAACATCTATACATGACCTTGCAGCCATTCACCAACATTGATCTCTCTTTGACCAGTTAGACTATATTCATAGAATTGAATGTTCAAAGCAAATGAGGAAGCCATTTAGCTCAGCAGAACTGGTGAATAATACATAAAGTGTTGATTGTTAAGATCCAAAAATTATTAAACTAGATTAAATAAGTAATCCTTGCATTTGATACAGTGCAGATACAGGATGAAAGCCATTAAATAAGTAAACCTTGTACTGTATCAAATGAGATCATTGAAACATTTTAAAAGTTTAGCAGAATTTACCGTAAAGTGTAGTGAATGTAATTTTGTAGGTGAATGCATCGACCCATTTCTGAACAACAGTGCACCACAAACAGCCATTAATGGATACCCAATTTTTGAACTGGGAAATTGTTGATCAGAAATCCGACCAGAAACTTTCTTCTCTTTTCATATTGTGCCATGGGATCTTTTATGTTGACTTTTATCAGGCAGACGAGAATTTAGTTTAATATCCCATCTGAAGGAATGAGAGAGTTCACTGCAGGATGCAAATAGTTTTTATAGACATAGCCCCTCCGCAGCCCCACCAAAAAAGAATCTCTCACTCTGACCTGCCTCTTCAGGTTCCTTCTTGATGATGTCAAGAGAAACTCATCACAGCAATACTTCCATTGGAGCATTTCAAAATGAATCTTATGTGAACTCTCTGATTCCTTATCCAGTAATACTGAATGAAGTTGAGGAACTAATTTCCTCTCCTGACTAGTTTAAAATGATTCTTCTGCCAAGAATATTGATGAAGACCTAAAGATTAAATAGGTACTCCTGTAGCTTCTTTGTTAGAGCACTCGCCTCGCAAGCGAGAGACCTGGGTTCGACTCACAACAGGGGCAAAACCTTGGGCAAGTTTCCTTGCTCCACACACCTGATAATCATCCCTCAAGAAAAAACAATAATAATTTGGTAACCGCTGTGCGCAATTGGCTGTCGCGTTTCGCTCACAAATATACAGTCAGTTCATTTCACAGTCTATTCTGTGAAGCAGTCTGAGATGTCGAGAAGACGTGAAAAGCGCTATATCAAATGCAAGGATTATTATTATATAGGTAAGTTTCATACNTTTTTTTGATGGCCCGCTCCACGTCCCCCGACCCACCCGACTTCAGCCACTCTGTCTCCAACCTTTGGAATTCCATCCCCCAGTCACTCCGCCTCGCCCCCTCCTTAGCCTCCTTCAAGTCACACCTCAAAACCTTCCTCTTCGACCATACCATCGGTCACCACCCTTCGCATGCCCTCCCTTCTCCCTCTCTGACCCCAGCTCAGGTCTGAAATGCTGTTCACTGTCCAGCACCTTAGGATGTCGTCCCGACATGAAAGGCGCTATACAAATGTAATCTTGTTGTCTTACTGTTAGAACAAAACTGTTGCTTAAAAGTGTATGAAAGCAGCTCGTTCTCCCATCCCGCTCACAGAAATCATTTTTTAAAGAATATGAATATTGGTTTTAATTTTAAATTCCTACCTAATGGATGGTTTGGGACAGAATTTCCATTTTGTTTATTTCACTTTCTACCATTGTCTTCATTTTCTCTTAACAATTTGTTGCAAGAACTGACAAAATAAAGCCAATTAGCACTCTGTGGGAAGTTTTCTTTTAAATAGTCTTTTGAGTGGCATGACAGGTTGCAGCCAGAGACTGCTGTAACAAGGAAAGATACTATAACACAAATATGACCTTGGTGATTGTTGGAAGCACTGAAAGATATGGAAAAATTGAACTTGGATGCTTCAGGGTGAGTCAGACTTTTAAATATGATATGCATATTTCAACAACTCTTAATTCATCATAGGATAGTTTGAACTTCTCTGTACTGAGCTCCTTTAACCCTGCAAGCTAAAGTCAAAGCTGCGCAAGCAATGGGGTGCTTGCCAACCTGCATTTTCATTGGCAAACTATGTGGTATTAGCTGGTTAAACTTTAGCGTTACCCCATTGCACACTTTAGTGTACCCAAGTCTTGCTCTTGCCAAACTGGGCCTAATACCCTCTGGAATTAGGTAAGCAATGTTTGTTCCTCCAAGGAAGTGTTTATTCCATTCCTGTCATGGGAATCTCCAACAAATGACCTGTATGGAGCTCTGTCTGGTTTTGATACTTTTAAGCATAGTGATGGGTTTCCACATATGTCACCCCCATCTCGCTGTCTCGTGAAAAAAAATCTACAGATATGAATGGGGGGAAAGGTAGCTTCAAATCTAGTCTTTTACGTGGATGTTTTTATTCAGGTCATAGCTGTTCTTCCTTTCTTTGGGAAAAGACTGATCTCTGACTTTAAAAAGGCATGATCTTCCTGGAGAAATATTTTTGTTCTGAAAAAAAATTATAAACCATGCGATTGATCTACATTAGTTTGAAATGCATTTTTGAATCGGATTTGAGTAATATCATGACTTTTACAAAATTGGGTGGAAAAATTACCTCTTAAATTCTATTGTCCTATTTGTGTCAAACTTTGGTGCTGTTTGTCATAGTTAGCTTGATTCCTCTAATGCTGAGGAAACATACTTTACATGACAAGATCTCTACAATGAAGGTTAAGTGAATTACAATTTCAGATTTTTGAGTCAGATTTGCTTTTTGAAGTATTTTCAATCCAATTAGTTGTGGGTTCATGAAGCTTTTATTTGGCTCCACTTGAACTCTTAGATTTAAAGTTCTTGCTGAAGTATTTGCCTTTCATTGGAGAGGAACCGTGGAGTTATGCTTATACACATGAGGTTGTTTATTTCTTGTTGAGATTATAAACATGCCATCATTTTTCAGTGTGACATTCTGACAATATACAATAATCCTTTGTATCAAACTTGGTTCTGTTTTGGAGCTTTGTCAGCAGACAGTGCAGAATTATATTGCCCATTTGCACTGTACTATAATTGGGAAAAGTTATGCTTCTTGCATGAATACAGTAAATGAATGATTTACAAAGATATATTGGCTGACCTTTAAATTGTTGGGGAAATTATTAAAGTTACGCAAGAGCTGACTGTCCGATCAGATGTTTTCTGAAATTATAGGCATAAATGTTAATATTAAAGATTGGTATCTGTAACTACTTCATACCAGTGTAATGTGCAGTGAAACCAGCCTGTATTTGTATTTTGACTTTTTGTTTCGATTTTGTGCAATCCTTTATTGGTTTTGTATGCTGAAGTTGGCCCACACAACAGAAATTTTACTTTAAAATCTCCATTATTTTTTAATTTCAGCCCACTGGAGATTTTGTTTGCGATAAGAGGCCTAATTAAACAATTGTATATGATTCCATTTACAAGCTGAATAGTTTATGGAAAAGTAGTTGGCAAACTGCTGGTTTCAGTGTTTTGTACTTGACCTTTTTGATTGCAATAGGGAAAGCAGCAAGCTGTTTTGAATATTCCAATTGTGAAAGATTTGACTTTGAGGAATTCTATACGAAGAAAAAACTTGTGTACAATTCAAACATACTTGAGAACCTTGTAGAAAGAATGAATGATGGTCATCTTTGTAAACTTGTTAACCTGAGAAATTGGTTCTCAACCACTTTCAGTTGAGCGGTAGTTCTGATATCACTCCTTCCTCGGCCAGGAGGACAGCTGGTTTCTCAGGTGGGGCTTTCATGCGCTTATATTGCTGTGACCAGTCATTTTCCCAGTTTTAAGATTTTGAAGATAATGTTGTTAATTTGTTTGGTATGGCTGACAACCGTTTGAGACATTTTCGTACCTGGTCTTGGATTTTAGACAAGAATGCTGTTCAACAATCTGCCTTAACCATAGAGGTATGGCACGTCAGAGCACCCTGCTGAAGAATGGCCACTGAGTAGTTAGATCTCGTGCTGGAAATGGATGCTATTTTTCCATCAGATTTTGAAGCTTGTCTGAGAAGTATGCAGCTTGGAGCTGATCTTCAACTTGAAAATGACTGAATTCTTGCACCAAAGTCTTATTTATTCTCTCTGCACATCAATTTGGTGTGAATTTATTTTGGGCTATATATTTACATAAATTGTGTCCAACCAAAAGATTCATGTAGATCTTTCCTTTTAATATAATGTTTGTTTTTAATTCTGTTTTAGTCTGTATTGTTTACTTATACAAATGTAATGTTGTTGTAATTGTGACTTGAATAATGCAGCTTTGTTCTGTTGATTTTATTGATCCTGTGTTGCTCCTATGATTGCAAAATGCATTTTGCCATTGAAGATGGTGACTAAAAGATAACTGAATTTTTCTTTTTCTGTATTTGTATGCAAATAATTTTCTTCCTCCTTTCTTAATCTCCCTCTAACCAGTCAGATTAGTCCTTAAATTATAGAAAGTCTGTTGTGCTTCTCAGGAAACATTGAGGAATAAAGTGAGGCATAACATTTTTGCATAAAATCTCTAAACTCATACTGAAAACTGACATCCAGTCGGAACTCTATCTAAAACTTTAGCAGCATGAATGTGCACAGTGGTTAAAATGACAATTATGTGAACCAGTTGTGAACCCCTGTTCTATATTTGCTGTTCTTAAGTTTTTGCAATTTTTCCTATTTAGTATCTTTCAGGAAGAATGACCATTCTGTCCACTCCCCTTTTGTATGCACTCTGCGCCCACTTTGCAGGCCTCTCCTCGCTAATTGAAAATAACTGAATAGATTTACTTTTGAGGTTCACTCGTAACAAATGTGTCATATCATTTGATTTTGATTAGTAACACCTAAACTACCTTGTATAACCCATATTAATTGGTTAAAATTTTCACTGTTATTTACCTTTTATAATTACAGAAGACTTAAGAAAATGCAGCTGGTCTGGAATCCCAAAGCCAGTTCGACCCATTACGTGGAAGCTTCTTTCAGTAAGTTTCATTTTTTATCCTCCCTTTTCCCTTTTATGAATAGCATTTTCAGTTTTGTATAGATTTTATTTTTGAATAAATTAGATATCATTACAGCCTCATTATCCAAAATGTTTCTTAATATAAGTTGAAATTACATTGTGTTCACTTGCCAGTGATTACTGCAGTTGCAAAGCCCATGAAACTCTTTGAGTTAAATTCTTCAATTCCACCCCCATCCCACGCGTGCCTTCTGGGCTAATATCATTTACACTCTATCTGAAAGTCCAGATCATTTATGTCTCACTCAGAATAGAAGGGTTCCTAACACAAACCAATTGGGTACTCCACTCAATTCCATCCCTATTCTGATTCCAGGGCACAGCTAGCCTGGCTCATTGGCAGAATCTGGAAGGGCAGACCAGTCACTGGGGGCAGGGAGTCATCTCACTCAGCTCCTGTTAACCTTGCAAGCCAAAGTCCGAATGGTTAGGATGGTCCTAGCTGGACAAACAGCAGGAAAGCTTGCTGGACAGCAATATCAATGGCAAGCTATGTGGTTTTAGCTGGTTATACTCCAGCAGTACCCCAGCCCAGAAGCTGGGGTCCCAAGCCTTGGCTCTTGCCAACCTGCGCCTAATACTTTCTGGAATTAGGTAATCAGGATGGGTCCCTCCAGGGAGAGAGAGCGCATTTCATTCCAAAAATCTATCTCTGGGATTTCCATGTGTAGGTGGGATGCCTGGAAATCTCAACTTGATTTTGATACTCTTAAACATGGTGATGGGTTTCCACATGTGTCAGACAGACACCTGGCTGACTCCCCAGAAAATCTGATTTGGCTTCTCTCTGAGACTGTTTAAATTGGTTACTTTTCCTTCAGACTTACTGTTTTACAGTTACTAAATTCTTGAACACCCACTGACATTATTTTGTAAAGAAGTCTTGTGTGCCATTTTATCAAACACCCTTTGAAAGTTTAGATGCACGTCTTTGTATGGTTTCTCAGTACCATACATTGAAGTTTAGTTTTCTGTGTGGGAATTTCTTCTGGTTTCCTTGCCAGCAATCCCCCCAAATAAAATCGGTCATTCACTCCTCTACTGTGCAATTGGGCTGCCTCATTCATCTACAAATACAGTCATTACACCATACAGTAATCCTGTGAAGCGCTTTCTGGTATCTGTTCTGAAATTAACCTTTGCTCTAGAATTGCCCATTTGGTTTGTTCATTAATTTCACTTATTCAAGCGTATTCTCTGAACACGTATATGTGGGTATATCTTTAATGTGTATAATCTTTAACATCAATCTAATGTACGTATATTTAAATACGTTAACATACAAGTATGAAGGATTTTTTCTGTAGCATCATTTGCAGAGCCTGGTGGTGGAACCAGACAGTAAACTTAAGACAGTAAACCATAACAACAACAACAAGATTACATTTGTATAGCGCCTTTCACGTCGGGAGGACGTCCCAAGGCGCTGGACAGAGTACAGCATTTCAGACCCGAGCTGGGGTTGGGGGGGTAAGGGAGGGGAGGGGAAGGGGTTGACCAATGGCATCGTCGAAGAGGAGGGTCTTGAGGCAGGACTTGAAGAGAGGTGAGGAGAGGGCGAGATGGACTGACTGGGGGATGGAATTCCAGAGATTGGGGCAGAGTGGCTGAAGGCTCTCCCCCCAATGGTGGAGCAGGTGGGTCGGGGGATATGGAGCAGGCCAGAGCCGGCTGAGTGGAGGGAACGGGTGGGTTGGTAGGGGGTAGAGGTAGGGTAGGGCGAGGCCATCGAGGGCTTTGTATGTGAAGACCAGGATCTTGAACTGGATCTCTGAAGGATAGGGAGCCATTGGAGTCAGGAAAGAGCTATAGTATACATGGTTCCTGTGTTTTTTCTAAAAATGACAACTTTTTTTTGTGATTGTTCTCATTCATAAATGTTACTTTTTTTTTTTAGATGAATGAGGAACCAGTAAGTTTTAATCCATTCTTCCCTGTAACAAATGCATTTTATTTGAAGCTGAGAATACTGCAATTTAACTACAGGAGCCATTATGAATGTTCTAGTAGAGATTTCAGAATTTATACTCCTGTGTCTATACAGCCCTTAGTCAAGCCACTGGGTATTAAAATGTGTGATGAATAGGTGAGGATGTGTTTGTTACCCCAAATGCTGTTAAAATTCACCTTCAAGATGTGAATGTCAAAACACCTTACATCTGAATACTTCAAAAGTATACCAGATCAAAGTTCCCTATATACTGTCTTTCAAAGTTTCTTGCCTGGTCTATTTGAATGATGAATTCCAGTAATACATCATGATGAATTGCAGTTTATGCTTGTGCAGATGTGAATTTCGATGTAGCAATTAGAAGCACCTTGTGACTAGGTGTTCAGGAGCAGTGATGAAGGAAGATGGGCAAGTCTCAGGTGTCATCTGTCAGACTTGGAATCGGCCTTTATCAAAGATATACAGCACACATAAATAATCATGTCAGCTCCTAATAAAGAAAAAGACTGGTAGAGCTTTTCACTTTTTTGAAGCTGTTGGACCATGTTGCTCTAAAGCATAATGATGTGTCTCTGCATATGTCAGTCTGGTTAAAATGGCAATTTTGTGAACCCCTGTTCTATATTTACTGTTATTAAATTTTTGCAATCTTTCCTATTTAGTATCTTTCAGGAAGAATGACCATTGTGTCCACTCCCCTTTTGTATGCACTCTGCACCCACTTTGCAGACTCCCGGCTGACCAAAAAATATAATTTGAGTAAAATGTTAGAAATTGAATCTTTTAAAGGACATCATTGAGCATGATTTGTTCAGTAGATTTAGCTAAATTTCCTTTCACTTTTTAGATTTGAATTTGCAGACTCGACTGAGTTAATATTCTCCATTCTGGTTCCAGGGGTCCACCAAACTCCCAGTGACAGTAGGCAAAGCACATGAAGCTGTCTGGAATTTGGCAATACATTGATGTTCTTGGCAATAAAATACATCAGGATGTGTACTTGAAAACGGGAAAAACTCACTTTTGCAGTAGAAGCTTCCCATTAGTTTGGAATATCAGAGGTTTTGGTCGTAGTTTCAATGGTTACCGTTGAGGTTTGGGAGTAGGTATTACAGAATTTTCTCTTGAGAAGTAGTAGGTGCAGTATAATTCATGATTCAATATATATTGCTCATTGTCTGAGAATCAGTTTGCTTGAATGGCAGTTTCCAATCCAGATTTCCTTTTTTATTTTTAATTCTTGTTTTATAAAGCATTAATAATAATATAATAATCCTTGTATTTGATATAGCGCTTTTCACATCTTCTAGACGTCTCAAAGCGCTTCACAGAATAGACTGTAAAGTGAATTGATTGTATATTTGTGGGCGAAATATGTCCCACAAACAGTCGTGGATTGAAACGACCAATTTTTTTTAGGGATTATTATCAGACTTTTTAATATTTTTTAATAAGAGACAATAATAGTAAATGATAAATAAATAATATTAAATAAATAATAAATACAAACAATAATAAAATAAAATTAAGCTCGAACTGTGCAAAAAAGAACAATAGAAACATCACGCAATTTAAAAGCACACAGTTCCAAATCTTGCCATGGTTGTGGTGATTTCCAAGCAGTGATAATTAATTCACAGATACTTTAAAAGCTCCAGTAGTGGACTTTTAGAAGTTGTGGTCAGAGATAAAGTCTGCTTGAGATGCTTCAGACAAATTAAAATGCTGCTCCTGAAGACTGTTGACAGTCTGTTCAATGGGCACTAGCCAGTCTGGTGTCTCACCCAAATGGTTGTTATTTGTGTGTGAGTCTTGATCGTGAAAGCAAGATATTCAAACACTGAAGCTGCGTCTGATCCTGTCCTCAGCAGACATCAACACATATGCGCCATCCATCCGAGGTTACTAAATAATGTTCAGGAGAGGAATCCTGAGGCTGACTTTCCTATTCTTAAGGGTGGTGTGCTAATTGTGGCACTCTAAATGTTGCCTTGGTGGAAATCTGCTTACTAATCATGCGAGGATCTAAACCTGGAATCTTCTGGTCTGCATAACTTAGTGTTACCTTTACCCTTCAGGCCATTAGGAAATACGATTTGCTAAAGGAAATGATGCTCGTGTCATTTAATCTTTGTTTGGCATTGGTAAACAGTTTGAATTCAGTTGGTGATTCTAACACACAGTTTTTTTAGTTTTACTTAATATTCCTTTCTTTTATATTACTGAGTTACTTTATTTATGAAATTGTGATAAAATGTAGTGGAATGCCACTTTTGATTTACTTCATAAAGAAAAAGTGAGTGGTGCTGCTTTCTATTCATGAATTTAAGATACTCTGAAATAATTTCCTATGAACTACTGAAATTATTTCCTCTCAGTTAGTTAGATTACTTGTGTTGCAAGTATTTTCACTGAAATTGCTAGCTTTGCATCACAACAACTTTTTTGTAATTCCATTATATGAAATATCAAAAATGTCTTAAAAGTTAGATAAAGTATGCTGCTTAAAAAGTAGGTTTCATTAATGATATATTGACATCACAAAGATTTTGGTTGGTGATGCAAAGCTTGGTTGAAATTCTGTATAGTAATGTAGACACCATTTTTAAAAAAAACATCGTAAATCTGACAAACAGCTTTTAGTTAAACCAATGCTATTCTCTAGGTTAGTTACCAAACCTTTTCAAAAAATTAATTGTTGAGCCATAATTGTCCCTGCAGGAACTGTTAGCTTGTAGAATTTTGAATATTGGTCACTTCAATCCACGACTGCTTGTGGGACACTGTTGTGCGCGATTGGCTGCCGCGTTTCGCCAACAAAATAAAGTCAATTCACTTTGCAATATATTCTGTGAAGTGCTTTGAGACGTCTCGAAGATGTGATAATGGCGTCTATATCAAATGCAATGATTATTATTATTAGGGTTTCCATTAAGGTGGGATTTCTGCGGATCTGCTTGAATTTTTGGAGGGATTGTCTTCTCGGAATCAGTTTAGCCACAGAGCCCTGCTTTCCTGTATCACCCACTTGCTTTCTTTCTAATGTGAAAAAATCAAGGTGGATTATTTTGTATCATACTAGCCTTACCCTTTGCAGCTACGCTTCCAACCAGTTTCATTTAATCGGCATTCTCTCCTTCATCTGCCATTTTTATTTATCCTTGAAAGGCTTGATCTTCGCTTCTTAGGCATCTTTATCCCTTAAGATTAAGGAAATGTGCTATTGATCTTGTTAGCATCCTTTTGTTTACATATTTGCACACACATCCTTTTAAGAGGAGTTCCTGTATGGGGGGGGGGGGGGTGAACTCCCTGTGGGGGGGGACTCCCTGTGGTGGGGGGACTCCCTGTTGGAGTCCTTACACGTGTGATGAGCTTGTTTCGGTCACGATAGGAAATCCCTGAAATTATGCCCATGACACAAGACCTTTTCAATGAAGTATAACTCATGTCTCTATGTCAATCGATTATTGCGTTATTGATGGACAGACAGACATTTCATCTTTATTAGTATAGATGTATCTCTCTAGAAGGGTGTGTGATTTCCTCTGTTGCTACATTGTTACGGAATACCATGCAAATCTTTTTGGGGGCTTAATTAAGGCATTTTTTAATATAGCTCATCAACGAAAGGAGATTCCCCCCCAAAAAAATATGCCCATGACACTCTCCCAGGCAAGACTTTTCCAATGAGGTATAAATTATGTCTCTTTGTCAATCGGTTATTGCGTTCTTGGCAGACAGACACACAGACATTTTGTCTTTATCAGTATAATGTATTAGTATCCATATGTATATATTTGTATATATATTAATATATATTTAATATATAATATATAAAAGATATAGTTGGGTTGACTAGCATTTAAATAAATATTCTAATATGCTTATTTCTTCTGTATGTTGTATTTTTAGGGTTATTTACCTGCAAATGTAGAAAGAAGACTCTGCACTCTGCAGCGAAAGAGGGAAGAGTATTTTGCTTTCATTGAGCAATATTACGACTCTAGGAATGATGAACATCATCAAGATACTTATCGGCAGGTATTTGAATAGAAATCTTGAGTAATAATGTTTTAGTTTCTTTGCATTCTGTTGCCTTGTTGATATGCATGCCTGTGTTTTAGACACGGTCTGAATACTGCTGTATGTTTGTACCTGTCTTGATATTCTACCTGTGGGATAAGAGAGACTTTGATTACCCAAGGAGTGGTATTGTGATCATATATGCTTACATCTCTTAGAGATTTGGTTCAATTAATTTGAGGTTTTGGAGCCCCACATGGTCAGATGGTTTTGTTTATCACAAAGCTACTGAAAAACTTAACTTCTTGCATGAAAAGGTAAAGTAAAAGTTGTGTCTTAATAATAATAATCCTTGCATTTCGTATTAGCACATTTCACGTCTTCTAGACGTCTCAAAGTGCTTCACAGAACATACTGTAAGTGAATTGACTGTATATTTTGTGGGTGAAACAAGGCAGCCAATTCCACACAGCAGCATCCCACAAACAGTCTTGGATTGAGTGACCAAATTATTATTGTTTTTTTCCTTGAGGGATTATTATCAGGCATATGGATCAAGGAAACTTGCCCAAGGTTTCGCCCTGCCAGGAATTGAACCCAGATCTCTTGCTTGTGAGGAAAGTGCTTTAACCACTGAGCTATAGGACTCCATGGGTCTTGGGTTTCAAAGTGCAAACCCTTTAAGTGTTACCTTACCTTTAGTATTAACATTAACAACATCTGGTTTGATCACTGCAATGCAGTTTTCTTTACTTTATCTGCAGGTGATTTAATTTTCTCTCCGTACCCCTCCTTTAGCCTGCACAATATCAAAAGAAAGATACAGATGAAGAAGGTCCTTCGACCCATTTTATCTGAATTTTTCAGAATTACAATTATTTTATTGAAGCTGTAAGCTTATGTTTAACTTGCTGTTGTCCTCATTTTATTAATCTTACAATGGAGATTGGCTTCATTACTTTCCTCTTGAGTGCTCCAGGGCCTGGGTGACTCATTTAAGCTGCAGTGACCAAAATAGTAAGCAATAAGCCAGGTTTTCTGACCCACCATTGTACAGGTCATTTACTTATACGAGGTGCAGAATTGAGTCCCAACAAGAACACTTAATACACTGCATTCCTTCTTCCCATCAACTCACTGTTTCAACTTTGTTCGCCTCACAACCTTTTAGTTCTTGCCCGCCCACCCGCCTGTCTGTCTGCCCGCCTGTCTGTCTGCCTGGCTCTGCCCGTGTCCGCCAGACAAAAGCTCTTTGAAACGTTTTGAAGACATGATAAGGCGCTATATGAAATGCAAGGATTATTATTATTATCTCCATGGCACGTTCAAAACTAGATTGTTTTTGAGAGCCCAGCATAGGAATACAGATAGTTGGTATCCTCAATCATGGTGTTATATTGTATCAGGCAATCAATGTTTTCAGTAGCTTTGTGATGAATTTCAGAACAGTTGTGTGACTGTATTAAGCTTACAGTTGTCCAATCTAAAACTAAATTAAATGTTTTTTCTAATGATTTAAGCTTGTAATATAAATGGAATATTCAATGACTCATGTCTTGGACTGTTAACAGTGATTTTGAGTGAAATGTTTTATATAGTTCATGAAGTAACCTTTCTGCAGGATTTTTAAAAAAAAATCAGTGAAATGTGATTGGTATTCCAGTTCCATTGTCTTACAATTACAATTATTACCTTAATATTAATTCCACAATGAATTTATTCCCCTCCTTTGATATCAGCAATGCTAATTTTTAGAATTAAAAAAAAAAAATCTGTCCCTTTGTTCGTCTAACATACTCTCTTGTTACATGATTTGCTGGCAGGAAGTACGTCTGGTGAGAGAAAGCTCCCAGATCTTTGACAAGTTAGATACCACAGAACACTGTACAATCCAATTCCATAGAGAACTGAATAGTGACAAAGCTCCACTTGGACTGAAGTACCAGACTTGTGATGCTTGTTGTGAATTTACTAGAGGTTACCCAGCATGGTCATAGTTCCCCACACTTGCTAATCTAATATCAATTATTGGTTGAAGTAATAATATGATTTGCATATTGTTTCACACATGTCATGGAATGTTAGACATTTACTTGTTTAACATTTTTTGATATTTTACATCGAGTCATATCAACTTCCACGAAGGAGATTTGAACTCTTTTATAAATTATGGCAACCTTGCAACCATTTGAACATTTTATTGAATTAAATGTTTGTAATAACTGTTACATGGAGGTTTGATTTGTTCAATTAATCATCTGAAATTCTTCTCATCTGATTTGAATATAGTAGACACAATTGTATCAATTAAATAATAGCAGTAAAATAATTAAAACTTCCTGTGAAATAAAGGAAAAACAATTCCTTGTTTCCTAAAATTACTACAAGCCAAATGACCATTTCAGGTAAGCATTCTGACACATCCCGCCATTCAATTTTAAGGGATGAAAGAAGTTGCTAGAATTGAATGAAAATAATTTTATTTGTTTTTCCAGAAATCTTGATACCAATTTCATATATTGCCAATAAAACTGAAAAGGTAAATCATCAATGAAAAAGTAATTAGATTTATTATTTTAAAAAATAGTATTAGGAAATGGGAAAACATTTTTAGACATCTTTTTAGTGAAATTTTAATTGTTTTTCTAAACCATCAGATTGCCATAGATATTCCTCGTATGACTCCTGAGAGTTTAATACTACAGCCAAAAGTAAGAGAGGTAAGAGCTTTGGGAATGAAAAAAATCACATCTTTCCCCTGCCTCATCTGCTGTTTCCATTAATAAATGTCTGAATGGCTAAATGGTTTGATACTTGCAGAGCTGAATTTATCTTCTGGTCAGTGGCTACATTTTGAATGTTTTGATAAAAATGAAGTGATTTCAAGGATATTCAGTAAAGTTTACTATATAAATTATTGTACATTGTCGCTAATCTTTCCTCCAATTTTAACTTATTTGTTTCATATTAAGCATTCTGACTGTGGTCTGAGAATCATCCATAAAGAAATCATAAACCAGAAATTTACGTACAGAAGGTCAATTAAATATCCATCTGTGCTGGCTCTTTTCAGAGCAATCCTTCAAATCCCATTTACCTAACCTTTCCCCATACCTTTGCAGTTTGCATCTTTTTAGATATCATAGAATCATACAGCACAAAAGGAGGTCATTCGGCCCATCATGTCTGTGCCGGCTCTTTGAAAAGAGCTATCCAATTCATACCCACTCCCCCACTCTCTCCCCATAGCTCTAAAACTTTGTCCTCCCCAAATAATTATCTATATTTAAGGTGGTAATACAGGGAATATCAGCAGGCTGGGAGAATGTTACCAGTGAAGTTCCACAGGGGTCTATTTTGGGATCTCTTTTATTTAACATCTTCATAAATGATCTGGAGCTAGCAGTCACAAGCACTATGGGTAAATTAGCAGATGACACAAAGCTAATGACACAAAGCTGCAAAGATGAACAGGATAGGATACAGGAGGACTTGACCATTCTTAGTAATTGTGCAGATCGATGGGAGATGTGATTTAATATAGAGAAATGCAAAGTGCATCTGAAGATTGGGACAAAAAAATCCAGTTAGGGACTGACTTATTTAAATGGAGAAAAAAAATCTGTACGGAATATGATAAGGAACTGGAGATCCTATTCATAATAAATTGAAACTATCCCAACAGTGCTCGGTAGCAATGAGTAAGGTAACCCAGATGCTGGGCTGTATTAAACGGGCAATATTAAGCCAAAATAGTGGGATAATCCTGCTACTTTATAAATCACTGGTATGACTGCACTTGGAATACTGTGTGCAGTTCTGGTCACCACAATATAAAAATGATATTGCAGCGACTGAGAGGATACAGAGGAGGGCAAACGAAATGATTGAGGGTTTCGAGGGACTGGGCAATGAGGAGCAATTAGATAATCTGGGCATGTTCACTGGAGAAGAGATGGATGATAGGTGATATGATTATGGTCTGTAAGATTCTGAAGGGAATAGATAATATAAACCACGATAAACTGTTTTATCTTGTACTGAACAGCAGAACCAGAGGACACGGCCTGTGATTGAAGGACAAATTCAGAACAAATCTGTGAAAACGCTACTTCAGTGAGCGAGTAGTAAACTTATGGAACAGATTCTCTAGGGAGACAGTGGAAACAGAACATGTAATTTGTTTCAAGAACAAATTAGATAGATTTCTGCTAGAAACTAATATCTTAGTATACAGTAATTTGGGCCACGACATGTCAAGCGACTGCCAGGATGGTGGAAAGTGAACTATGGACCTTAGTCTTCTTTATCCTAGCAAATTGTTATGTTCTTATCTTATTAACATATAAGTTATTTTTTCTTATCTCCCATATTGCTTCTCTACATATGATATCAGAGGGGTAAAAGGTGAGAATGAGCTTCAGTGACATTTTCCGGTTCAATTTACTCATTCCCCTATATCTCCATAAGTAATGCTGGGCCAAACTTAACTTGCCTCTTCTGTCTAAAGCAAAAATTAGCATGGAATGGAAACTCAATCTGAATCCTAATTTCATTTTTAGGTTCACATTGGTAGAAGTTAAATCTAGCCCAGGTTAGATAATAAAGGTCTCCATTGAGTGAACATCAATCGATAAGGACATTGTTTTTTGATAGTTAGGGATTTTTTTTAAAAAGAGGAATTTTTTTTCATGGATTGGAAAATATCACTAATCATATTCCTTGCATTTGACGAGTACAAAATGAGCGGTTTTTAACTTTGTATTTGAAATTATATCAGTGGAGCACTGACAGCATTTCAATACAAATTCAGTCATGAACTGTGAGTATAACATCTACCTAAAATCTCTATGGAATGAGAAAAACAGCTCTGAGCACGCACAAAGTGCTGCTTACCAGCTTCCAAACACTGTCTGTCTATTGTTGATTGAGATGAGTTGACAGAACTATTAGCTCTTCACAGTCTATAGAAACCGAAAGGTGACCTACTGTACCACTAGCTATTTCGTAAGCATGTAGCCTCTCGAGGTACTCTTGCTGTCCTCTGAAACCATAAATCACCAACTTTCATTATTATCTTTTTGGTATTGATGGGAAAGGTGCAGAAGCTGTATGATGCAACTGCCCTGAAATGTGAATAAAATGGCTAATTGCCAAGCAAGGATCCGTGATTATCTTTATACATTAACCGATATAATACTGTACTTACAGAGCAGAAAGGTAAAATTTTTAACCAAACATTTTAAGTTACAAATCATCTTCTTTATTTACTCGTTTCTTGAAGTCTTCAAATATATGTGCATTATAATCAGACAGGAGGTATTCATGAATAATTCATCCAAAGTTACTGCAAACTGGCTTCCAATCATTTTCCATACCTTCTTTCTCTCTTTTTCTCTCAAAAACTAATCTCAGTTGCTGCATCAAATAGAAATATCAGACCTGATGTGCAGAGCTGACAATGATGGAAAACGATAGGAGGGATGTTTATAATCAGCAGGAGTGACACAAATTGCAAATTACACACAATGCTGTTTATTTTTAAATGACATATGTGAAACACATTTTTAAACAAAAACAGGTAATTGTATGCCTAATGAATGGCACTTTATGTCTGCTTTGACTTCCACACAAGTACCCTATTTGATTGTTTTCACATCCATACTTTTTTTTAAATCATACACAAAAAAAAATATTTGACAGGGCTATAGCTTGAAATCGGGTTTGAGGGCAGATCAGGAGGAAAAACCTGTGATTAAAAATAAATCTCAGGTTTGTCTTATGGTTTTGAGTTTCACACTATTTATAATTATTTTAATGGGAGGATTTCTATTGTACCAAACAATATGGGTCATACGATACACTTAAGTGTGATAAATGGTGTTCAAAAGGATCTAAATCATTTGAGCAGAAGGGCTTTGAAAAGACAGATGTAGGTAATGCATTTATGGAAAAATAAGACATCCACAATGAACAAGTGCTCTTTAGCAAAAGTGAAAAAGAATATAGTCGTAATTATTAATGATGCACTAAATGTTTACAGTCAAATTGAGGTTGGTATCAACACAGCCAAAGCAAGTTCTCAGCTGTCTCAATGACAATTGACCAAGTTGAACACTCATTAAGCCATGTTTCGAATGTTGTATGCAGTTGTGGACAATCTTAGTTGAGATAATGTTGACATGTTGAGGTTTCAGAGAGGTGTATCCTTGTTGGCTGTATTGCTTGGGACTCTAAATAACAAGATAAATGGATTTTTCAATGATAAAGCAATGCTGTTGAGGGGCACATTGTCTTCAAGGTCATGAAAATGCTGAGAGAAATAATTGATGTAAATTTCAGCAGATTATTAGATTGTAAATCCAGAAATAGAGACTTGGTTCCAAATTAGTAAATAGTTAAAAAAGAATCCTTCCTTCATCATTGGTATGTGAATAATCTGAGCAAAATTTAACTAAATCCTCCAAATGATAGCTGGAAAAATGTATGGTTGGAAACTAGATTGAAGTTTATAAGCACAAGCATAGACAGAGATGATCAAATACTCTACATATGACAGATTTTGTGCTGGGGAAGAGTTGCTACCTATGTGAAGCTGTCAGTTAGTATTTATGGTGGAGATCTGGGCATAATTCATATTTTGGTGTTCTGCTTGAATACCTCCAGGGATCAGAGAGCATTTTGAAGTTTATGATGGGATAGATTTCTACATTATCAGTTCCATGAATGGGGTTAATGGCCTTTTTCTCATTTTTTTTCTTTCTTGTGTTATGTCTTTATGACAAAAGTATTGTACGCTTTGGGGACTTTACCACCTGTAGAGCACCCCACTGCATCTTTTAAAGGTGCTGCCCTTGTTAATGGTGTTAATACCACCAAAAGCAAAATCTTCAGTTGCATAATAAATTTTCCAGCTTTATCATCAGCAATATGAGAATAAGCAGTCTCAGTAAGTCTGCCTCTGGTTTGATTTTGACTATTTTCCCACAATAACCCCAAGTCTCTTTTGATCAGTTGTTGCCTTTCAACACATGCTCTATTATTGTTCCATACTCCCCAACTAATTATTTTACATTTGCCGTCTGCTGGCCTGCATTCCCAGAAGATCCAAATGCTTCTGAATCTGGACGTCTTATCTCATTATTTGTTCTGCTTTCAATTTTAGTATCATCTGCAGACAGATGTTTTGGTTTCAATAACCCCATCAAAGTAATTTATGAATATTATAAATAACTGACCCTTGGGATCTCGCACTCTAGCCCTTTCCAACTTTAAAGGTTTCCAATTACTGTGCGATTGCCCTCTGTTTCCTGTTTTAAGCTGTTTTTATATGCATGCCTATTCCAAAATTTTATCTTAACTATTAACCTCCAATGTAAACTTTTTCAAAAGCTATGTTGAGTATACCAATATAACATGAACTGCATTTGTCACGTTTACTGAGGCAGTAATGGGGGAAAACTGCAAGTTTAAATGTGTTCTCACCTTCCTGAATCTATGCTCTGCTCTTTGTCAGGATGTGCTTTTCCAGGTTTTCACCGAATGGAGTCCTTAAAATTGTTTCCTACAGCAAATGTTAAATTGAAACATTTTGCTCATTTAATTGTTGACCATATAGTTTAACTTTAATACAAAAATTTGGGTTGTTAAATATTATGAAACTGCCTCGCTTGTAAAATAAACTTATGGAATATATTTTCCCTCAGGTTTGCGATGCAATTTAAATTTCCTGAGCTCAAGAGGCATAATTTGCCTAAATTATGAAAAATAAATACTGATTGTATATTGAACTGTTTGCTTGAGATATAAAGAACAGTTGGCAAAATCTGAAGAAACTGAAAGGAGCCATGCAGAAAAAGTGGATGGTTCTCAAGACAAGTTAATCTTGATCAGGATTTTGTGTGACCATATTTGTAAAACTGATGCTTCTTTGAAGGAATTAGAAGAGCACTGGCTAGTTGATTTACCCTGTTCTGCAAGTATAGCAGACTTGGCTGAAGCTGTGGTTCAGAGTTCTGAGGCTTGCAATACTGCTGAATGCATTCAAGGAATGTTTAGCCTTCAGTCCTCAGTGTTTTTAAAGATTACATAAACAAATTGTAGTGTATTCTTCTGTCTAAAATCTTTGGCTTTGAGCCCCAGCAAAGTGCTAACAGGTCTCTTGAATGGCTGCATCATCAATAATAATTTGGCTTTTGCTACTGTTTCCTTTCTTTATCTGCAGATTCACATTGACATTCCAAGAACTAATCCTCTAATTCCTCTCTTTCAACAAGCTTCAGTGCAAGAGGTGAGAGTATGTCCAGATGATCAGCCAGTGGTGCTTGGAAGGGCCATTAGTATTCATCTGAAACAGTTTAGATTCAAACTAACAATATATGTGGCATACTTATTAGCATGCTAAAGAAGGCATGTACATTAATGCATACACAAAATTGCACTTGGAAAGCTGAACTACTTTTATTGATCCAACCTGTGCAAATAGAATATAAACCAGTTTGCACCTCTTACCAACTGCTGTTTATTTTGAACTGCCTTATTTTTATTTGGATATTTAAGGAAACTGAACACAAATTAACCAGTCATGTAATGAGGTGGAGGAATTGTTGATTCACCCTTCTTGTCCAACAAATACTTGAGATAAATTCCAGGCATTGCTGCTTTTTCAGTCTTGTGCTAAATTGGTGACACAAAGCCTGTTGTCTTTTCCATTCAAAGAAAATAAAACACGTATACAGTATATTTGATAGTGATTACATTTCCTTTACTATCAATTGCGTTTGGCATGAAGCTGTTTTTATTGAAATTTGTTGTGCAAATTTGTCATTTCTGAGAATGCTTAACTTCTAAATAGTTTCCATTTGAAAATACCAGGCAATTAAGGGGAGGCTGAAGCATTATTGCTTTAACCTGTAGCAATAGGCTAACTATGGTAACTTACTTTGAAATGAGTTTATACTCAGGTGACACTTCATCGGGGTTACTCTGAATCGAAGTATTTATTGAATTCCACTTGCTCTGACGAATAGCTGACAAGCATTGTGTATATCTTGTCCAGTGAGAGTTCAATGAAATTTAGGAAATCCAAGTTAAATTGCACTATCTTTCAAAATATTTAGAAAAATTAATTGGACACTTTCCTACATTGTTCAACCACCTGTAAATTTTAAAAATACAAAGGAGACAAATGAGATTTTAATGATAACCTTTTATTTAGCTTGGCATTCAGCATTTTTTCTGACAACAAAGATCAAATTCGATTTTTTTGCTTGCAGTTTCAGGTAATTGATTTTTCTCATTTCATAGTGCAGTCAGTACCTGTTTCATTTCTGAGCCAAGGATCAAATGTTTTTTTAATAGCTCTCAGCTGACCTTTATTTAATTATTACCACTTCAATTGCTAACACTCTTCCCCACTTATGTGCCTTGCAATTAGACTGAAATCCATGAGGGGGAAATCATATATTGCCCCTCACTGTATCTATGTGAGCAAATCTACTGATCTCTCCAGTCCTGCCATTTATCTTCTGGAATCATATTTCTGAGTCTTTCTGCTGTTATCAGCAGTCTTGCTGCTGTTTGATATCAGGAAAAAGTTGTTCACTCTTTTCTTTCCCATTGCCTCCACTTTGTATCCGCTAACAGCTCCTCCTCCAGCCTTTGCACCATAACTGTGTGTTCCTCAGGGCTTTGTCCATGGTCCTCTCTTCTTTAATATTTATATGCTCCCATTCAGTGATTTCATCTCCAGGCATGGGGTTAACTTCCACTTGTGCACGGCTGACACCCAACTCTTATCTCTCTGCGTCCACCTTTGACTCCAGGACCACTGCTATCCTGACGGAATGTCTGTCAGGCTTCAAGTCCTGCATGAGAGCCAACCTTCTCCAGTTGAATGTTGACAAGACTGAGGCCTTGATCCCGTCAACACCTCCTCACCTCAGACGCTCACAGCACTATTATTCATCAATGCACTCTCCACCTCACCGAGCCAGTACGGAACCTTGATGTCTTGTTCAACGCTCAACTTGTCCTTTAAACCCCACATCTATACCATGACATGTTCTGCCTTCCCCCACCTCCGCAACATTGCCTACCTGCATCACTACTTCCCCTCAGGCTGCTGAGACCCTCATCCATGCTTTCATCATGTCCAAGCTTGACTGCTAACTTCCTGCTTGCTGGACTACCATCACTGGCCTGATCTATGTCCCCCACCTGCCAACCCCACCATCGGCACCTTCAGCCTTTGTGCCCCCACCCTCTGGAACTTTATCCTGGAGGCTCTCTGCCTCGCACCCTCCCTTTCCTCCTTCAAGACCAGTCTCAAGACCTTCTTTGACATTTGGTCATCCTCCCACTCCCCTTTCCTTCCACCCCTTTTGATGCCAACCCTCAGCTCGGGTGCAAACCCTTGATTGTCCAGCACCCTGGGACTAGTATAGGTACATTATTGCTGTACAAGCACTGTTTATATGATTTGTGTTGATATGACTGAATAGAATACGGTTTCCAGCATCATTATTGGGTAACATCCTTTAATAACAATGGATATTAGCATCTATTATGATTGAAGGCCCTTTTTCTCTCGACTATATACAGTGAAAGCAAGTATTTGCTATGATATTCAATAAGGTCATTAAAATGCATTTGGATGCATTAATTTGAGGAAGAGAATGTTGAATATATTTATTTGCCACCGGTTTGGAGTATTTTCCTTCAGGTATAATGCCTAAATCACAGCACAGCTAGACATTAGCTAAACCTGCCATAATCTGGAATTCCATTCCTGGACCTGCCTTTGTGGTTGGGTTGGTTTTCCCTTGTGCCTTATGGCATTTCACCAGATTGCATGACAGAGAGAAGGGTGATGCACATTTTACTGCATTAAAAAGGCACTTGTTTTTGAATCTGTCCACAACTCCTCCTCCACAACTTTCCAAATACAGAAAAGGAATGGCAAGCCTTTTGTTTCAAATAGGAGTATTTATTTCCCTGAAGAGGAGGTTCTGATGGATATATCACCCAAGACGTTTGAACATTTGTTGATGACCAGAAATTTCATATGGTAATTAGCCCATACATTATACAAAGAATTCATCTGGGGATTGGATAGAAGTCGAGGATATTAAATGATACTCTCATTGAAACCACTTGAGAATAAATGTACAGACAGTGAAACCCCTTTTTTAGTCTTAATTGAAGTTAAGTTCGTGAATAGTTTAAAGATTAACTTTCTTTTCATTTTAATAATAGCATTGATTAATATGGAATTTCAAGGGTATATAGTTTCAAGTTCAGGTGAAGGAAGAAGGTTCTGACTTAGTCACTTTGTGCACAGTGTGGTGAAGATATGAAATAGACTGCTTAGGGAGGCAGTGGAGGCAGATGTTTTTAATTTTGTTTTAAACTTTTTTATTATGTTAAGTGTTTTGCTTAACTGTCCAATTGTCATTGCTGTTGGCACTCTTGTAATACATCTAAATACTTACCACTTTGGGCAGAATATAAGTTAAATGAAGTATAACAATTCACTTTACAGTATATTCTGTGAAGCGCTTTGGGACGTCTAGAAGATGTGAAAAGCGCTATATCAGATGCAAGGATTATTATTATAACGTCTTCACATAGGATGAACTGTCTCCATGCTCTGATATCCTGAATCATAGACGGTGATAGAATGGGAATGTTCTTAGAAACATAGAAACAGGAGTAAGCTATTCAGCTCCTTGAGCCAGTTCTGCCATTTTATAAGATCATGGCTGATCTGTATTTCAAGTCCAGTTACCCGCCCTTGCCCCGTATCCCTTAATACCCTGACCTAACAAATATCTATCTACCTCTGTCTTGAAAATGTGAATGGAACCATTATCCACAGCCTTTTGGGGTAGAGAGTTCCAGATGTCCACTACCTTTTGGGTGAATAGCTGCCTTCTGATTTTATTCCTAAATAGCCTAGCTCTAATTTTAAGATTACGCACCCTGGTTCTGGATTCGCCTACCAGAGGAAATAATAATAATAATCCTTGCATTTGATATAGCGCTTTTCACGTCGGGAGGACGTCCCAAAGTGCTTCACAGAACACACTGTAAAGTGAATTGACTGTATATTTGTGGACGAACGCGGCAGCCAATTGCGCACAGCAATGTCCCACAAACAGTCGTAGATTGAAAATGACCAATTTATTATTGTTTTTGGTTTTGGAGGGATTATTATTAGGCGTGTGGAGTAAGAAAACTTGCCCAAGGTTTCGTCCTGTCTGGAATTGAACTCAGGTCTCTCACTTGCAAAGCGAGTGCTCTAACCACTGAGCTACAGGACTCCAATAGTTTATCTGTATCTGCCCTATCGAAAATTACTGTAATCACCAGAGAGGTTCAGTTGAAGAAGGCCCTTCTGTCCTTTGAGTTACAGTAATTCTATAAGAAATAGATTATTGCAGAATACTTAAAATAACAACTTGCATTTATATAGCATCCTTCACCCAGGATTGCGACTTAATTCCTCTTAGTGCTAATGAAACATCAAAAGGTACTTTACATTATGTGTTACATTGAGGAAGAATTTGCATTATTTGTATAAGAGACACAGGGATGAGTGAAAGATGTTTAATGCCCCAACAATAGTGAATATTTATTATATGGTATATTCTTGATACATTTCACAATGTTGATTGAGATAGGCTTATTAAGTGAAAGTAAACTGCATATTTTAAAATGTCCATACACACAAAAAGTTCCTCAGTCATGTAAAGTTTAGCATTGTTTTTGATTTGAATTATTGGGTTTGTATCAAATTTCAAGGTGACATAGACCACAGATGAGAAAAGGGAAGGTGAACAGACAGTTCAGATTTAATTACTTTACACAGAGAGCAGTGAATATGTGGAATGGGCTACGCAGGGAGGTGGTAGAGGCAATTTATGTCAACATATTCAAGAGGGAATGAGATAGTTATTTGGCAAAGAAATTGATTGAGGTAGAGAAGTGTGCGATTAGTTTTTTAAAAAAAAAAATTTGGACTGACCAAATGGACTACAGTGGATTTTCTTCATCCTGTACATTACAATATTACACAAAATCTTCGTATTTCAGAAAACATGCAATAAGGATGCAATAAATTAAACTTATCGATGTGTAATTCTGGTAAGAGTGAGATTTTATTAGGGCAGCTTTCAAGAACCAATTGTTAATGTGGCAATAGTTAAATGGACTATATTTTGTTAAATTTAAAACTGAAGTGTGAACATCTGTGCCTAGAGTTGTTCAGGCAGTTTCAGATAAATAACTAGCTTCTGAAACAATAGACCTTTTTGTGAGCAAAATAATTTGATTAATAGGAAATATATCTCACTGAAACATAGTTTATCTTTATGTAACTCATGAGACAGAAAATAACTCTACAATAACAATTTGTTCACTGTGTGTAATCAGAATTTTAAGAATGATAGAGACTTAACTAAATTCTTGCAAAGTTTGATACATGAACTTCTTTGTGTATGGATGTAAAGCCATTCTTTACCTGATTTGATGTATGTCACATTTCTGTTAATTGAGGTTCTTGACAGAAAGATGAAGTTGTCAGAGGCCTGATAGTTTTGATCATAATAAAGATGAAAACATGTTACCTTGTTCAGATAAGCATAAAGAGAGCCTTTGGTATAACAAGCAATACATAAAAACTGATGACACATGCAATTACAGTCAACACAGATATTGAAGTGCCCTGACTTTTAAGGAAACCGATGAACTGCCATAGATCCAAGTGAGTTTGCGTTTGAATATATAATGCAATGGTCTTTTTAAAAGGTTTCCTTAAAATACAGAAATACAATGTGAGGATTAACCTTGAAATATAATTTATCTTCAAAGATTAATGATCCAGACCCTCTGTTCCTCTGAAAATTATTACCTTTATTCTTTCTTTTAAATTCCTTTCCAGATCTTTGAACGCATTCTTTTCATATGGGCTATACGGCATCCAGCCAGTGGATATGTTCAAGGGATAAATGACCTTGTTACACCTTTCTTTGTAGTCTTCATTTTTGAATACATTGGTAAGTCTTAAGTATTGATTGTTACATGTGCTTCGTTTATGTATTGATTTGAGATTACTGCTTTAGTATTAGAAGTATTAGAATGTGAAGTGATTTGACAGCACAGCGAATATGTGGAACGGACTGACAAACTGCAATAACATGCAGGCCATGGACCAATATTTCAAATAATTTCGGCAAAACATAAAATTTGATAAGACCAAACATTTCAACTAAAACTGGGAGCTTTGATATCAGTCAAACTCAACTTTAGTACCTTTCTCTACATCTCTATTTCTTAAATGAATTGCTGCCTGTGTTCCATCCTCTAGTCTTTCTCTGAATTATAGTTTTTCCCTAGATAGTGCTGATAGCTTTGCTGACTTTTAAAAAAAAACATCCAAACCACTTTGTTTTTCTCAGTCTCCCACCATGACAAATCAAGTATGTGTTTACAAATCAGTTGTGTTTAAATGTCAAAATTGTGGAGAAGCTGGCGGTGGTTGATTCACTGGCAGAAAATAGTGATCACCATATCTTGGTTACAACTATGCTAATATTTTTCTTTGGCATTTCAGATATTTTGTTCAAATCTATACTCTTTATTGCTTAAGCATGGAAAAACCATGGAAATGTGAAAATATGTTTCATAACTGATTTTAGAACATGCATTTTCTACCTATAATCATGCTGTCTTAATTTGAATCAAAACATTTCTAATGGTTTCTGGCTCTTATTTGAATTGATAAATATGACTCATCCGCTTCTGTGAAATTGCAATCTAGTTGCGCCTTCTTGAATGTATATCAAATTTATATTGATATTTAATACAAATTGAAAAGAACTGGTGTATTTTCTAGCACAAGTTGTATTCCTTCAAAGCTCTCCATGCCCTCATTCAGTGAGCCATTAATGTCATGATGTTGCATCATTGGAATTGAGCAGATGCCCTTGAGTGCCTTGAAAGATGATTTCTCATTTACTGATTTTAAAGGATGATCCTTCTACCCATCCCCTTAGGTTCCTATAATTTTTGACGTTGTGGGAGGCCTTTGCAACTAATGAGAATTTCTGTCTAATCATCCAGTCTGTCGGGAATGGGTCTGCTCCCAAGGGCCTCTGAATTTCTCTCAATCTCTTTCGTGTGATAGCGGAACTGTTTCCAACAAACATATATCAGTTGATTCCATAGTGTCTTATTTTGTAAATTGTCATTTTAGTAGAATGTGAATCTATGTTGGATATTAATGGTCTAAATTGATAATTTATAGGATAACAAAATAGATTTATTATACAAATATAAAGAACGGTATTAACTACCCATTTGGTATGATGAGGATTATTATTATTTCCGATCTGCTACAGATCATTTCATAGTTTCTTGACTAGAGCGAGATTTAGCAGCACTGATAATATTATCAGTGACTTGTTGCATCTTTTGATTTGTTCAACCAACATAGTTTTTTGAACAAATATATTTTGCTTTAACATGGTTTGTTCAGAAGATGTTTCCAATGGTAATCCTAATGGTAATCAAGAAAATGCCACAAATTTGGAACTTCAAAAAAAATTGCTACCTATGGTAAGCCACGTAGCTTTTGTTATAGTATTAGCATACTTTGTTTTTAAGAATTGTACTTAAGGTGTACAAGAAAACTATTTGGTTTACAGTTTTCGGTTACAACATTCAGAATTACTTTAAAACTCTAAATGGTTGTTCATCATTGTGCTTCGTTTTTTGGTTTTGTGTATCATGAATGTTTGGTACATGACATTGATGCTAAAAGGTAGTTCCTTTGGCTTCCTCTGTGCCCGCTTGCAAACGTACTGCCCGGCCACTGCTCCGCTCATGTCTCCCAACTCCCATCAGTGGATGAATTTCCGGCCATTCTGTCCTTGCTCTCTGAGACTTCTTCTTGGAGTTGTTTTACCTTGGCTCTTCCGTCCTCACCTTTAAAGCCCACTTTTTAAAAACTTTTGCAATCCACCTTGGTTTCGGCTTGAGTGCCTGGTCAGTTGACTAAAGCATGTTAAGACGTCCCCCACTCCCTCCATTTCATCCGGCCCCTCCTCCCTCCTTTTCATCCGGCCCCTCCTCCCTCCATTTCATCCAGCTCACCCTCTCCTTCCAAAACCCGTAAATCTTATGGCAAAATACTGCAGACACTGGAAATTGATATAAACATAGAAGTCGTTGGAAACACGCAGCAGGTCAGGCAGCATCAATGGAGAGAGGAAAATGAGTGCACTTTACTCATTTTCCTCTCTCCATGGATGCTGCCTGACCTGCTGCATGTTCCCAGCAACTTCTGTGTTTATATCCGTATATGTTATGTTTCTGAAAAGGAAAAACAAAAATATGCGACCCGCGAGCAGCCAAAAGGTTAAACTACTCTGGATTAGACTGCAGAGAATAACTAATAGTAAAATAATTTGGTAGTGAGTTGTGTAAATATTTGATGAGGAGAAGAAATTGAGGCAAGGATAATTGTGTTCAAAAGCATCTATCCAATTTGAGTTTTTAGGTTGAAGAAGCACAGAGAGATTTTAATATACAAAACTATTGAGGATAGTTTGTGTAGGAAATAAACATACACAGTGAATATGTGCACATTAGTGAAGTGGAATCATTTGGGTGTGATAGTTGATCTTTCATTGAAATTATCTAATTGATAGGAAGTTGCCATCAACAAATTTCTAGTCCTATTGAGGGCATTCAATGATAAATTAAGTTATTGTAACATTCCATAACTTACTCGTAATGCTACAGATAATATTTTGTGCTGTTTTCAATACACTACAATCAAAAGTGGCAAAGGAAAAATACTCCAGATGCTGAAAATCTGAAATAATAACAGAAGTCACTGGGAACTCACAGCAGGTCAGGCAGCATCTATGGAGAGAAGAAAATAAGTTAACATTTCAGGTCTTTCGTCAGATGATTTTAAACACCTCTGTTGGGCTGCTCTCAATCATTTGCAGGGGGGAAAAAAGCTTTAATTTGGGCCGTTTTTCAGAATGGTTGTATCATCCTTGGCAATGTCTGTAAATCTACTATGTAAATCTATCCATTACCACAGCATCCTTCTTGTAGTATGATGATCAAAATTACACTATTCTAAATGTGATCTAACCAAGGTTTTATATAAATTAAAAATTTATATTCCACTGAACATGAACACTGAACAGCTCAGATGAATTAAAAGTATGCTTTTATAAAATATTGATATATTGAGCAGAATTTGGAGGAAACATGGTCTGGAATGAGAAAAAGATTGGAAGAGCTTCCAATCAGTGTATCGGAAATACTCAAAGGCATAGGTGTGGTAGGTGTAAACTGTCTTTTTCTAAAGGCACAAATACAAAGCATTTGTTTCAATTTACTTGTATATTGGGTGTTGGACATTTTGCATGGTTTGTCTTGGCAAATGTGAGGCTAAACCAGGAGTAATGAAGAATCTTTGATCTGCCCTTCAATTTCCTGTCCAGTGAGTAGCTATTTATATTTTATATTGCTGGTCAAATTTGAAGTGCAAATGATGTGGAAATTGACAAAGGCTGTTGAACAACCAAGATTATTGTTGTATATGGCAGCCAAAATGAGAGATTGTTGTTGGAACTAGGAGTGATTATGGTGTAACTGTAGCACCTATTGCTATTGCTTGATAGATGAGTAAAAATGTAAACCTTAGGAAACCTATCTTTTGTCAAACAATAATGAGATTATAAAGTAATCCGGCCATTAATAATAATAAACTTTGCATTTGATATAGCGCTTTTCACATTTTCCAGACATCTCAAAGAGCTTCACAAAATATGCTGTAAAGTGAATTGACCGTATATATGTGGGCGAAATGCGGCAGCAAATTGTGCACAGCGGTGTCCCACAAACAGTCGTGGATTGAAAGTGACCAATTTATTATTTTTTGTTTTGAAAGGATTATTATAATAATAATAATAATCCTTGCATTTGATATAGCGCTTTTCACGTCGGGAGGACGTCCCAAAGCGCTTCACAGAACACACTGTAAAGTGAATTGACTGTATATTTGTGGGCGAACGCGGCAGCCAATTGCGCACAGCAATGTCCCACAGTCGTAGATTAAAAATGACCAATTTTTATTATTGTTTTTGGTTTTGGAGGGATTATTATTAGGCGTGTGGAGTAAGGAAACTTGCCCAAGGTTTCGCCCTGCCTGGAATTGAACTCAGGTCTCTAGCTTGCAAAGCGAGTGCTCTAACCACTGAGCTACAGGACTCCATTGAATTCACAACTGTTTCTGCGACACTGCTATGCCCAATTGGCTGCTGTGTTTTGCCCACAAAATATACAGTCAATTGATTCACTTTACAGTATATTTTGTGAAGTGCTTTGAGATGTCTCCAAGACGTGATAAGGCGCTATATCAAATGCAAGGGTTATTATTATTAAACTCAAGGTTGCAAATCTGTTCATTGCTATGTCTCCAGAAATGCCTTTGTGTCTCCAGCAAAACTTCCATGGCTTCGCTCCACCCTACCTCTGCGACCTCCTAAACCCCTACCAACCCGGCCGCTCCCTCCGCTTAGCCGGCTGCGGCCTCCTCTACGTACCCCGACCCACCCGCCCCACCATTGGCGGGAGAGCCTTCATCCACTCTGTCCCCAACCTCTGGAATTCTATCCCCCCAATCACTCTGCCTCGTCCCCTCATTAGCCTCCTTCAAGTCCCGCCTCAAAACCCTCCTCTTCGACCATGCCATTGGTCACCCCTCTTCCCTCCCCTCCCTTCTCCCTCCCTGACCCCAGCTCGGGTCTGAAATGCTGTACACTGTGTAATATGTAGCTGAACATTATCTTGTGACAACATTTCGGAAAATTTGGTGTTAAAGAGAAAATGTTCAAAACTACTTTTCTACTGATGTTCGTTCCTGGGAAAGTTTACGTATTTTGATGCATTTTTCTAATAAATTATATCTTGGAAATATTTTTTTCACATGAAGTGCATTAAGATGCATCAACTGTTGCAAGAGTAGTAATTA